TGTTTTCCTTCGTCCATGGTAACAAGTAAACTGGGGAAACAAAGTCATGTATTTCATCCCAAATCAGTCAAATGAGGCAGTAAAAGAAAGAAGAAAGGGAAAGAAACAGAGGAACTACATTCACTTGCCAATGCGTGTTGGAAGGAACCAAGCAAATACGTATCAGCAATCATCAGTTAAAACGAGACACACGGGTCAAAGCTGAGGGTGAACGGGGTTCAGGTTCTGAGCGCAGACTCAGGGGAGCCCCCTGTGGCTCTAAGGGCCCCGTGGGTGGTGGAGGGCCCCGGGCTTCCTCGGGGTGTTGAATGATGGCTGGCTCTGGGAGGTGGCTTTTGCCTCGCGTACAGGGGCTCTGGGCCACTTGCCCGTCTCCAACTGTGCTCACGGTGGCTTTACTAGTTTTGGTCACAAGTTAGTGGGGACAAGCTGCCCCACTCCCACCTACCAAATCATCACTCCAGGGCAGGCGTTTGGATTCCATTCCAGGCAAGCAGGAAAAACTGGACGGGCTGCAGGGCTCCTGCCTTGGAGGAGGTTTTGCGAGGGCCAAGGAAGCAGCCCTGGAAAGGTCGCCCTCTCTGAGCACTGGCCAGGAGCATGTCTGCCACACCCGCGTGTGTCAGGGCAGCAATGAAAGGGGCCTTGTTTATTTGGCAGTTCAAGCGAAGGGACACACACGTGCGGGCTCACTCACTGTCTGCTCGGCAGCTGCCGAGGGGGTGCGACGAGGGAGCTCCTGGCCCCCCAAATGGGGGACCCTAAAATATGGCACCCAGAGAAGTGACATCAAAACCACGGAAAGGGAACAAGAGAAGGACAAAGGCTTTTAACCAGGCCACAGTAGGACAAGGGTCCTATGAGAAGCTTGTAACAGTATTTTGCCAACAACTGGTAGAGGAAAACACATTTGGCCAAAGGACCTAGAAGTAAACACCAAGGTTAGGTGGTTGGGAAGATCATCCCACAGGGGTAGGAAGTTCAGAGGGGGAAGCATCCCTCCCCTGCTGGTGGGCGAGGCCACCAGGGGGCCTGGCCGAGGAGGCTGTGTTGTTTGGCTCTGCTATGTCCAGGCTCTGCCCCTGCAGTACACACACACCTGTGACCAAGGGGCGACAGGGGGCCTCCAACTTTGTCAACGCAGTCCCCCCACACCTGTGTGAGCAGCTCCCCTTCCCTGAAGGCCTGCTTTTGGTGACATAAGAACGGGTCCTGCTGGTGGTCAGGCTGATGCCCTTTCCTGGGCAGGGTCATCTGCTGCCACTGAGTTTGGTCTAGGAAGGAAGGCCTATCTCCCTGGAGACACTGTGAAGGCACAGCGTCCTAAGGACCCATTATAAGGGACTCTCCAGAATGGTCCAGGCCCATGACGACCTCATGGAGGGGTTGTGATCACGAGAGGTGCCCTGGAGGAAACTGTCCCCACCTCATCCTGTCCCAGAGGGCCCTCTGTAAACAGCGGAGTACCTTCTCTATGAGGGAGGGCCCCCGGGGCGGCGTTTACACGGGAGACCCGCCACCATCAGGTCTGGTGCTCACTGCTGTATCCGGCCTTCGTAAACCACAGGCTGGAGAAGCAGCCAGGCTGCTGTATCAGCTCAAATTCTCCCCATTTAGGGGCAAGAGTAGAATCTCGACTTGATAAAGGCTGCAACTGATACTTTTAGGCTTCTTAATAGCTATCAAATCATTGATTTCATTTTCTTTTTTCAACAAGTGTTTATCCAGCACCTAATATATGTCAGGCGCTGTTGTAGGCACCAGAAGTACAGCAGTGAGCAAAACATACAAAAATTCCTGCCCGCGTGGAGCTTACATTCTATGGGGGCTGGAGGGAGGCATACAATGAATGAATAATTCACACGCAGCCCTCAGGTGGCGATAAATGCACAAGAGGAAGACGCACAGGGAGGCGGCAGGGAGGGTGGGATGTGTTGGCTTATTAAGTAAAGAAGTCAGGGAGAGCCTCATTGAGAGGTGACACTGGAACAAAGACTGGCAGGTAGTGAAGTGTGGCTGAGGGTGGGTGTTGGGAGAGGACATTCCAGGCAGAGGGCATGTGCAAAGGCTCTGGGCCAGGCTTGTGTCACTGGGGCAGAGGTTGGAGAAGTACAGGGGTGGGAGTGGTCTTTGTAAGAACCTAGTTGTTTCTTTAAAGTCATCCTTCAGTGTCTGTTCTATCACAGATGTTCTCAAGGAGCTGGCTCCACTAATTTATCCTCTTTAAAATAATGGGTTGCTTTGGTCTTGAGCATATTCAGCCTATATTTAAAAAGCCAGTGGTACCTCTCATCTTACATTAAAGAACTGATGGTGCATGTGTGTGTGTGTGTGTGTGTGTGTGTGTGTGTGTGTGTATTCTTGAGATGCTCTCTTGGAGGAATAAAAAAGGATAAGCAATGGGCATCATTTTGTACATACATAATTAGGGTGGGACTCTTTTTGCAAGCATCAAACAGCAAAAATTGAAATTTCAGCAAATTATTTTGCAAAATAAAATGGAAATAGTAATATTTTAGCCTTGTTTGGAGATTCTGGTTTCTGTGCTGTTCCTGCAGTGATGTGTGTATTAAGTCAGCCGGTGGGGGGTGGGGGTGGGGGTGGAGGAGCACGGCATCTTGACACAGCACAGACTACACACTTGTTCCCGAGAGGTCTGTGCAGTGCAGCCCTCTCTCTATTCTCTGCTGGGGGTGGGCATGGAGTGAAGAGGAAGGACTGGTTTTGGGGAACAAAGTTACCCACATGACTGCGAACAGACCATCTTGCACATTGCTCGGAGCAATCGTGAAAGTCTTCCTGATCAGGGTGCCTCGGAGCGCTCCCTGCAGCCTCCAGGCCTCCTGAGGGGAGTGTGGGGCCCCTCGTCATCATGTGTGCCCTGTGGGTCTCCTGGGGATGAAGCGCCCTGGGCCCAACCCCGTGTCAGCAGATCCACCGTTAGAATCATGCTCTGGGCCGCTGGGACCTGTGCTGGAGAGTGGATCTGGGCACTGGGGGGATGAGACAGAAACAAGAATGAAGCTGGGCACCTCTCCCCACCCTGGAGCCCCACACCAAAGCGGCCCAGTTCCAGTAGCAAGGAGAACTTATAGTTAGGACTGAAGGGCAAGGTGGGGCCCGGAGGTCTCCAGAGAGCCACCGCTTTAAGGCTTTTTGGAAGGGGGTACCTGCTCCCTGGTGCCAGGGGTGCCAGCCACTGTGGGGCCCTTTCTTGGATGTGCTTGTGCTCGGATGACAGCAGAACCAGACTCTGGACAGAGGCAATGTCACAGCGGCTGGGGTCTGACAAGGCAGGGTCGGCTCAACCACGACACACGTTTTCTTCTTATTTATTATAACCGTTGGAACAAAGAAAAAGAAAAAAGCACTCGAGGAACTTAATTTGTAAAGTCCACACCACAATGAGGAAAACTGAATCGTGTCCTAAAGAAAGAAACCCTCCCAAACGTGCATTACTCCACGTCTCTTAGTAAACATGAAAGACACAGAGAATGGAACACATGGTTTGGCAAAGCCTTTTTTTTTTTCCTCACACAAATTTCCCACCACTGATGGGTACAGCCCTTTTTTCTTAACCAACGTGAAATATATTTTGATCGGTTAAGTTTATTTCTGCAAAGTAGAGTAGTTTTCAAAATAAGCTTGAAGTCGCTAAGCAAGGAGGTGAGAGCCACGTAGCCACGGCCCTGCCCCAGAGGCGGTGGGCACTGTCTGGAGGATTTCACACCTCGAGGTGTGCCCCCTGCTATCTTGAGTCACTAAATTCCTGATGGTAAGCTACCAGAATTAATAAATCAAATCACTTTGGAAAACATAAAGTTTGTAAAGTAACAGATCCCAACTTTTCAGAACGCCACTGGAGCCACTGGGTGGTGATAGGCAAGAAAAAGGTCCACAGTAACTTAGTGAATAGAAAGTATTCATTTAAGAGGAAAGATGCAGTACCAAAATCCAGAAGCAGAAAACAAATCAAGCTTTCCATGGAAAAAGAAGAGACATTTACACAGTTCCACTTTAAGAGGGGATTTGAACAAATAGCAGAAAGCATTTCACCCCCAAGAGCCCACAGCGGAGCCCCACCCAACCTAAAGTTAGCCCTCCAAGGGGGTAACCCTGTGACAATATAAGGGTGCAAAATATTGCTCTCTGGCATATTCTGAAAATAATATAAAAATAATTTCTATAGTACAGTTTAAACTTGGCTTGTAAAATCTCAACATAACAGCATAAAATCTACAAACAGAATACACTTAAAAACGCCTTCCTTTCACAATATATTATTTTTTAAAAAGTCATATACCCAGGTAACGCAGTTGCAGGAAGTGTGAAGCAAATGACTGAAATAACCTCCACTGGGGTTTAGAAGTATCTGGGATCCTTCTGGAAACTTGCTGTCACTTAAGAGACATCTGACCTTTCCAGAAAGGGAAGTTTGGCCAGGTCAGACCGGCTGGGGAAGGCGGCCCACAGGTGGGGCAGCTGCTCAGCCCGTGTCCAGGACCTGTGCCTAGGTGGGGCTCATGTCCTTTCTAGAATCGGAACTGGCCGTCTTCCTTTTCTCTAGCACCCCCAATCCACTTCCTTTTCCTCCCACTCCACAAAGGGCCCCCAAGTCACAGAAGGGCATTAGAGGACCTCTTGACCCACACGTGAGAGACACAGCAGTTTCTAATAGTTCCCGTCCAGCCTGATGAACTCATTTCGCCTGAGAGATGTCTGGCTTGGGACCAGGGCTAAAGGTCTCTTGTGAACACTGGGGCGGGGGTGGGGTGGGTGGCTGGACCAGCACATTTAAGGGAACAGTGGGCTCTCTCAGTTTTTAACATTGTTTTTACAGGAAGGATGGATCCAGATCTCTCACAAGAGGAGACGCCTATTTGTAAACGATGTGGATGGAGGGCATCGTACCAGATGGGAGCGACACCCACAGGCGCCCTGCACATGGAGCGGCCGGTGCAGGGGTCTTCCATGTTGTGGGGGGGGGGGGGGGGGGGGCCGGGGGGTGGGGTCTGGGGTTGGATCTCAGGCTCTTATTTATGGCATATATGTCAGATGTGGGTGTGGTGGTGGTGACCCTGAAATCCGAGGAGCTAGAACAGGTCACTGTTTTTTGATATTACCTACAAATAACACTGCCTGGTTTTAAAGGTTTTCCTTTTTCCTCTGGTACTACAAATGGACCATTTGTATTCTCAGTTTGCCTTTTTTTTTCTTTCTTTCTTTTTTTTTAACCTGGCAGAGAGCATGAGAAAGATAAAATACTTGCACAGCCCGTTTTGGAAATTTCTGGTTGGCTGTTTTCATGTTAAAAAAATTAAAAAACAAACACGAGATTACTTTCTGCCTCCTTGACTTCCTGTGCGTGTGTGTTTGGTTTCTGAATGCGCAGGGGAGCATTTTCCAGGCTGGCTGTTCCACCTTCTGTGAGATGCAGGGCAGGAACTGGCGTCTACACATGAAGCCATATTTATTTTCCATGACCTCACAGCTTTGGATGGCAAAGCAGTTGGTCAGCATGACGTGAAGAATCAGTCCAAAAAGCTGCCACAAACCCTCTTGAGGAGAGAATTTTTAAAAACTACTTTTTTTTTTAACAAAAGAAACCCCAGTAATATGAAGGACATGAATGTTAGTAATTACCACACACTGAAAGTATCATTTAGCACGAAAAGTAAAACTTTCGAAAAATTTAAGATCCTATTTAATAAATAATTTTAAGGAACCACTTATGTAAACCTTGAATAAATTACTGAAAACTCCACGTGCTGTGGATAATTAAAAACAAAAAGAAATTACTCACAGGAGATACTCAAATTAGTTTATTATATCAATAATTCTTCAAACAAGTAAAAACAAAAATCCCCTTCCGTATTTTTTTTTTTCTTTCTGTTCTTTATCTCGGGGGAAAGCATCCTTTCTGGAGAAGGAGAAGCTGGCGCCAATGAAGAGATGGTCTACCTCCTGTGTTTTCTGAAGATACACCCACAGAGAAGCTGGGTGCTTTCTCCTCTCTTTCTTGGGATTATTAGAGGCTATTCTAAGGCTCTCACAGGTTTTAAAGGATTCTTTTGCTAGTGAGGATTTTACCCATCGTATCTGTATTTCTTGGAAACGAGATCTTTCCTTAGTGAGGCAGGTTTAACGCCTCAGTGTCCTTGGCCAAGAACGGTATTCTCCAGAGGTAATCTTGGAAGGAAGACGCTGCATATTGCTGCTCAGAACAGGGTAGCTAAGGACACATTATTTTTTCCTCAAGAAATGTAAGGAGGCACCAAAATAGGGACCGCTCAGGGATGGGGCTGCCCCTTATGTGCTCTGGAGCCACAGTCAGGGTTACCCGCACCCTGCAGAGGGGACCCCGATGGGAGCGGTGCCCCTCCACCTGGCTGATCCCAGACAGATGCGGGTGGAGGTGGAGGTGGGGGTGGGCTTCCTTCCCGGCGGCCCTCAGCCCCTCCCCTCTGGAAAGAGGCGCAGGCCGGGTTTCAGGGCGGCTTAGAGGGGGCTTACACAGTGACCGCAGGGTCAAGTTCTCGCCTCTCTCCTGGGGCACCGATGGTCGCTTCCTAGGGGCCACTCTGGTGACAGAGCATTGTGGAAGTGTCTTCGAAGGAGAAATGTGAGCAGGCTGTCATCTTTGCTCATATATGGTCAACTCCAAATTGTGAGTTGGGAACCTTGCCTTTGGGCCCCAAGGTGTCTTTGGAAAGCTCCTGTCGCCTGAGCTGCCCGGCACCGGGAGTGATCGCTACACCTCACCGCGCCCTGCGAGGTAGGTTGTCCGGTGCCCATCCTACAGACGCCCGCGACTTTGATGGCAGTGTGAATGTCGCTCGAGCCGGGGACTGTGGGAGGAGGTTTTGCTTATGAGATGGAGCCGTGTATTCCTAAAGGGTCACAGGGACCACCAGGGCGCCAGTGGGAGGCCAACCGCCCTGTCCTCCAGGGACCCGGGAGGGGCACAGGTGGGAGCCCGAGGCAGAGCCTCCACCGCGGTCCCGGGGCCGCGCGTTTGCTTCGAAATCCTAGGTGGCAACAAGCGCACGCAGGTGACCGCTACATGGAAGAGGTCAGTCGCCGGGTTAGGGAAAAAAGAAAAAAAAAAAAAAAAAAGGCATGTAAAACACTCCCTTCTAAAAACAAAGGGCTGCAAATTTCTTTATTTCTCTTATTGAAGAACAAAAATACCCTTGCAATGGCTATTGAGTTTCCACAGGTACGAGGCAGATGCTAGCTAGCACACCCACTTCCAACAGTATGACTTGTTTCCTATCCGTCTACTACCTGAGTGGCGTCAGTGTAGGTTCAGGCACCATTAGGAACGTTTGACCAAACACGTACACAGCACGGACAGAGGATCGCCGGCCTCCCGGTGGACCAGGGCGCGGAGGAGACACCAACAGCGTGGAGAGGACAGCCCAGGCGGCGGGGCCGCGGCGCGCGCTCAGGGCCGGGCCGCGCGCGCCTCGCGCCGCCGCCGCAGCTCCTCGCGGTAGCAGTACGAGCAGTAGTGCTCGGTCTCTGCGCGTCCGTAGAACGCGCAGTTCTCGCGCTGGCAGCGCCGCTGCGCCGGCCCCGCGCCGGGGCCGCCCCGGCCGCCCTCACCGTTCGATCGCGCGGCCGGCGCGTCGGCGTCGGCAAACTCCAGGCCGTCGCGCGCCGCGCCGAAGCCGTTGGTGTAGGTCTGCGACTTGGGCTCGGCCGCGCCCGCCGCCCCCGCCGCGCTGGGCAGGGTTATTGGGACGGCGCGCGCCAGCGACTCGACCGTGTTGACGGTGCGCAAGGCAGCGGCGCGAGCCGGGCTGTAGCTCTGCGACGACAGCGAGCGGTTCTGCTGCGGGTACGTGGCGCACGGCCGCAGCGCGCCCACGGCCGGGGCGCACGCCTCGTCCCGCGCGCCC